GGAATACTGTTTAATCAGAGTATAGCATCAAGTCAATCAAACTCTGGGATATTTATCTGGTCAGTTAAGTAGCAGGGGGGGGGGGGTGTTGATGAGTTTCATATGCTTTGGTGTTAATGAAATTAGCAGGTGCACTAGATGGGCAACAATGAGACGACCCCGAAAACCAGAATGGTTTTAAAGGTGGAGGCCACTGACATTTTTTTCCCCTACTCATCTTTTCTAACTGTTTTTCACTAGTTTTGTATTTGGCTAGGGTCATTGTCACTACTGGTAGCATGAGGCGATACCTGGACCCTACAGAGGTTGCACAGGCAGTCCAACTCCTCCAGGATGGCACATCAATACGTGCCATTGCCAGAAGGTTTGCTGTGTCCCCCAGCGCAGTCTAAAGAGCATGGAGGAGATTCCAGGAGACAGGCAGTTACTCTAGGAGAGCTGGACAGGGCCGTAGAAGGTCCTTAACCCATCAGCAGGACCGGTATCTGCTCCTTTGTGCAAGGAGGAACAGGATGAGCACTACCAGAGCCCTACAAAATGACCTCCAGGAGGGCACTGGTGTGAATGTCTCTGACCAAACAGAAACAAAAATCAGAAACAGACTTCATGAGGGTGGCCTGAGGGCCCCACATCCTCTAGTGGGCCCTGTGCTTACTGCCCAGCACCATAGAGCTCGACTGGCATTTTCCATTGAACACCAGAAGGTCTGCCACTGGTACCCTGTGCTTTCACAGATGAGAGCAGGTTCACCCTGAGCACATGTGACAGAGGTGAAAGGGTTTAGAGAAGCCATGGAGAACATTATGCTGCCTGTAACATCGTTCAGCATGACCGTTTTGGTGGTGGGTCAGTGATGGTCTGGGGAGGCATATCCATGGAGGGACGCACAGACCTCTACAGGCTAGACAATGGCAACTTGACTGCTATTAGGTATTGGGATGAAATCCTTGGACCCATTGTCAAACCCTACGCTGGTGCAGTGGGTTCTGGGTTCCTCCTGGTGCACGAAAATGCCCGGCCTCATGTGGTGAGAGTATGCAGGCAGTTCCTGTAGGATGAAGGAATTGATACCATTGAGTGACCCCCACACTCACCTGACCTAAGTCCAACAGAACACCTCTGGGATATCATGTTTTGGTCCATCCGACGCCGCCAGGTTGCACCTCAGACTGTCCAGGAGCTCAGTGATGTCCCGGTCAAGATCTGGGAGGAAATACCCCAGGACACCATCCGTCGTCTCATTAGGAGCATGCCCCGACGTTGTCAGGCATGCATCCAAGCACATGGGGCCATACAAACTACTTAGTACCATTTTGAGTTGCTGCAATGAAATTTTGGTGTGTCTTTGAATTCAGTCCTTTGTAGGTTGATAATTTTCATTTCCATCAAACGATGGGGCATCCTTACGTTCCTAACACATTACCCAGTCCATATCAGTATAGAAATGCATCATGATATTTTGCCCCATTGAGATCTGATGCACTTTCAAAGTGTGTGTGTGTGTGTGTGTGTGTGTGTGTTACAACAAAAGATCTTTTTCTTTTGCTTTTAAAGGTAGAGGAGACATTTTGGGTCTTATTGATCCCAGATCTCTCCATAAAGATCTCTTATTTCTATTACAAGTGATATTTACATTCCTTGTAATAGGAATAAAAGTGATGAGAAAAAAAAAATTTAAGGGGCAGTGTAAAAAAAAAAAAATTAAAGTGCCTCCATGGTTGTGCACAGAAGTGAACGCATATGTAGGCCAGGCCCACATATGTCAGTGGTGTTCAAACCACACGTGAGGTATCGTTGCGAATGTCAGAGCGAGAGAAATAAATCTAGCACTAGAAATCCTCTGTAACTCTAAACTGGTAATGTGTAAGTTTTTAAAGTTTCGCCTGTGGAGATTTTTAAGTATCGTAGTTTGTCACCATTCCCATTTTAAAGCATGATATGTTAGATATCTATTTACTCGGCGTAACATCATCTTTATATTTTACCAAAAAATTGGGTTATTTATTGTTAGTGGGATTATTATGGTTTTTTTTTTTCCAATAAAATTCATTAAAGTGTATTTTCTCCAAAAAAATTGCATTTGAAAAACCGCTGCGTAAATACCCATGATATAAAATACTGCAACGATCACCATTTTATTCTCTAGGGTCTCTGCAAAAAAAAACAAAAAACTGTTTGGGGGTTCTAAGTAATTTTTCTATATGTGAAAGATGATCATAATCCCTAAAATTGCATAAAGTGCAAAAAATAAGATGTATAGCACAAACTATCATGTGTCCCACACAGTCCGAATGCGTAAATCCTCCAGTATCCAACAGAATACAATGTGCGATCCTCCTTCTGTAAGATAATGCTCCCTTCAGAAAACAAAAAACAAAAAAAACCCACCCCTTATGATACCTCTAGCTTTATTTGCACTGTTTTGTATTTTAAAGTATTTGATCATCCGCCCATTCCCCTGTATGATGAAGTAGCCTCTCGTTGTCCATGGGAAGCTCTAGGTGGATTTGTGGGGTTTACCGGTCCATCCATTTTTGGGTTTATTGTTCCTAGTTACAGCCTGCTCTCTGGTATGGATTGTGCTTTATGGAAATTAGTCAATGAATGTCAGAGGGGGATGTCGTTCCGTATGCACCATGTCATAGTCTTCTGGTTCTGGTTTCTGAGAACTTATCTTTACTGGTATCTGATAACTGAAGTCAGAATTAGAAGATCGGAGAAAATTGTGATTCATTCATGATATCTAACAGAATCCTTTTGAACAAAAATACGAAAGCTGTCATTGCTGACTTTTTTTTTTGGGTGCATTGTGCTGTCATACTTATCCTTACTTTACTATTTAGTGAGTCACTAATCCAGGGCAAGCTTTGTATGTGTTCTAAATCAGGGGTCTCCGAACTTTTCCAGTACAAGAGTCACATTGTATATTTTACAGATATTCGTGAGCCACATCAGAGTCCCCCCTTATATCAGGGTCCCCGTCAGAGTCCTGCTTACATTAGTGTCTCCCCTTACATCAGGGTGCCCATCAAAGTCCCCCTTATGTCAGGGTTTCCGCCAGAGTCTGTCTAACATCAGAGTCCTCCCTTAAATTAGGGTCCCCATCAGAGTTCCCCCTCTTACAATAGGGTTTCCATCAGAGTTCTAAAATATCAGATTCCCCCTTACATCAGCATCCTCATCAGAATTCTGCTTACATCAGAATCCCCTCTTACATCAGAGTCCCCATCAGGTCCCCCCCCCCCACATCAGGGTTCTCATCAGAGTCCTCCTAACATCAGAATCCCTCCGTACATCAAGGTCTTCATCAGTGTCCCCCTCTCATCAGGGTTCCCACCAAGAGACCTAACATCAGAGTCCCCCTTTACATGAGGGTCACCATCAGAGTCCCACTTACATCAGAATTCCCTCTTACATCATGGTCCCCAAAAGAGTCCCCCTTTGTATCAGGGTTCCCATCAGAGTCCTCCTAACATCAGAGCCCCCCTTCAAGGTCTTCATCAGAGCCCCCCCCCCCATATCAGGATTCCCATCAGAATCATCCCCCTTACATCAAGGTCCTCCCTTCAGAGTTCTGCTTACATCACAGCCCCCCTTACATCAAGGCCCCCCCCCCCCGCCTTTATATCAGGGCCTCCATCAGAGCCCCCTCCTATATCAGGGTTCCCATCAGAGTCCTCCTTACCTCAGGGTCCCTATCAGAGCCAACCCTGCATCAAGAACTCCATTAGAGTCCCCTGTTACATTGGGGGGTTGAAGCAGAGACTGCAGGCAGAATTTGCTGACATTATTCCTCAAAGTGTACACATTAAGAATACACCACCTGACCCTAGCTGTGTGCTGGATAAAATCTTGTGGCGGGTAGGATGTGATCTGTGCACAATAGTTGCAGAACTCTCTTCTAGGTCAATGACATGAAGGTAAGGATGACAACCCTGGAACCTGCACCTACCAGAATAAGTCCTGAATGGCAGTTCCCACATTTCTTCTCTGACAGGTTCTCTTGGTGTTCTCCGGGTGTTTATTACTTTTGAAGCTCATTCTCACAGGTTGTACCCACAACAGGTATTAACTTGCTTCTATGTTAGAATGAGACATACAATATTTGTTAGGCACAAATTTTGCTATTTATGAATCATCGCTTTTCTTGGCAAAGGAAACCTGAGCCGAGGAAGCATGGTGGCTAATATGCTGAATTCTTTCTAAAAAGGCTCTCATGATGATCCAGTGGATTACGTCCTTTCTGAGTCATTGACTCGGAAAAAGTATGCAGATTAGAAATTCTGACTTCACTCTGTTTTTCTTTCCTTCAATACTTGTCCCAGGCAACCAGCATTTTTTAGAAGGAGGTCAGCAACAGAGCAGTGTTTCTCTTGCTTCCAGATTAGGTTCATTTAAACTTCTTTTAAACCCTCAGCGGTTTAGAATTTTAATGCACGGAGCACACTAAATAAGCATTCCCCAGTAAACTATTTATTTGGTAAAATTCTTGCCACAGCACTTGCAGTTTACAACTTTTAATGCTGGGCCCTGCTCTCTCAGTGCTGCTTCCCTGAACTTTTGATCTTCACAGGAAAGTGTTATCAGTGGGTTGGCAGTCTCCAGGCAGCCTGTTAGCCTGGAGAAGGGAGAGGAGATAGGAGCAGGGGAGTGCCTTCAAATCCTAGGCTATGGGGCTGTGTGCTTCTATTGAGCCACACAGTGTAGGCAGACACGGCTCTACTCCCTATATACAAGGGTGGTTCCATAGGATGCTGCAAGTGAAAGGAACCAACCTGAAATTGGAGCAGTGGTCATGACGCCAACTTTAACTGGAATATAGGCACAAGTGAAAAGCTAAAGAATGTGTATATATACTCAGTAAGTGATTAAATCAGCTGCTGAAGGCGCCTAAAAATTAGAGTTTATTAATACTTTAAGGTTGTGCCACAGACTTACAGCTAAATACACAGTTGAGATATATATATATATATATATATATATATATATATATATATATATATATCCATCAGGGGCGGACTGACCATTTGGAAACTTGGGCACTGTCCGAGAGCCCGGGGTCAGTAGGGGGCCCCATGAGATGCCCCTGGTACCTTTTTTTCATAGGCTTTTTTGAGTTTGGGCAAGGACATGGGGCCCCATGAGTTGTCAATCCATCCCTGATAGATATATATATATATATATATATATATATATATATATATATGAGAGAGATGACCTTCCTTCAGCGTATCAACAACACAAGAACAAAAATTCGCTTTTTTTAACAACTTATTCATTTTGTGTGTGTGCCCAGCCACATTCACTGTAATTAATTGCTAGCTGTGTGAAAAGTCACTAATACCCACCACTGCCATCAACCTGTCTTTGTTTTTTGCTCAGGCCAAGCAGCTGAAGCTCACTGTGCACACCTGTCATTCCAGATGTAGGAATTTGCAGATTCGTGCTGCTAGAAACCACAGGGTATGATAAACGCCAAACTAAATGTAGTCTCCCTGTTCAACAGCGTCATTGTATTCAGGCAGTTATGAGTGCCGCGACTGTCTGAATGAAATAGCTGGTAGGGGAGATTCCTCCATCCATGCTGTTAGCATAGATGGAGGAACGATTGATTTTTTTCTCATTCGTTCTACAGGCTGAATGAGAGAAAATGGAGCCACTATTGGGAGTCTTGAAGTGTATGATACCCTAAATATTTCCTTTTTTTTTGTGTGTGTGTGTGTTAACTTTTTATGTACTTTATAAATAATAGTCCTTATATTTTCATGTGCAGTTCAGTTTTGGGCACCAATTCACAAAAAGAACATTGGGGAACTGGAGAAAGTATAGAGAAGGGCAACCAAACTGATATGAGGCATGGAGGAGCTCCACTATGAGGAAAGATTAGAGGAACTGAATTTATTCTCTCTTGAGAAGGAGATTAAGGGGGGATATGATCAACATGTATAAATATATCAGTGGTTCATATAGTGAACTCGGTGTAGAGCTATTCACCCTGAGGTCATCACAGAGGACAAGGGGGCACTCTTTATGTCTGGAAGGAAATAAATTTAATCTCCAAACATGGAAAGGTTTCTTCACAGTAAGAGCTGTGAAAATGTGGAATAGACTCCCTCAAGAGTTGGTTCTGGCCAGCTCAGTGGATTGCTTTTAAAAAAGGCCTGGATTATTTCTTAGATACACAGAATATAACTGGATACTAACATTTATAGGTAAAGTTAATCCAGGGAATATCCGATTGCCTCTCGGGGGATCAGGAAGGAATTTTTTTCCCAGCAGGAGCAAATTGGATCATGCTTTGCTGGGGGTTTTTTTTTGCCTTCCTCTGGATCAACTGTGGGTATAGGATTGTAACTTAAGAGCAGTAAATCCACAAAAGCAATAGTTAACCCACATGAGTCCAGCATAAATCCATGTAGATCCAGATCCCTTGGAACCCTGCCTGGGCTCCCACAAGAGGACAAACCGGCAGAGTAACAGCTACATCTTGACAGTCTTTCTGGAATCTCTCCTCCCTTTCCCTCTCTCTCCTCCTCCAGGGAAATAATGAGCCACTATTTGTATGGGTTGACCTGCAGGGGGCAGTACCATTATGAAAAAGAGCAGGAAAACCGTCCAGCACCATTAACCCTTCCTTCACAGATTCACCAGCCTAGCAGGTCTATAACATAGTTGACCTGAGTAACCCCAGAGCATGAACACTGCAAAAGAAAAAACTATTAACACTTTAGAGCCCTTTTGGAAGCACGTGCTTACACCTCATAGCACCTGCAAAGTTATGACTGTATAAGAAGCTGTCTATAACATTGTATGTTCACAACTACTTTAATAGTGATAGGGTTGCTTTAACAAGGTATTCGCAGTTTTTCTCAACCAGGTTTTATGGCACATGTTTGTTCAGTAAAGCTGAATCCGATCTTCCAGGCTATGCAGAGTGACATGGGCATAGCATCAGGGGTCACAGGGGTTGCAATTTCGACCTCAGCCCCTAGCTCCAGGGGGGCCACGGCTCCCTGCTGTTATATTACATGTTGCATTTCCCCTACAAAATCTCGGAGACAAAGTCCAGCTCCTATCCTCCTTGTGTCCCCAAGGACCCCAGCTGAGCTCTGTAATTCAGTAACCAGTTTCCAGTTCCCTGCTGGTTACTGGATTCCCCTGTAATACAGTAACCAGCTTACAACTCCCAGAAGGGAGACGTAGTCACAATAACAGCTGAACAGAATTCTAGATATTTTTAAAGATAAGTCCGTTCATTACTGAATTCATTTCTTTTGTGCTTAGTTGTTTGCTTGGTGCAAATTAATGGAAGCAAATTTTCTTTACAAAGTGTTTGTGGTAGGTTAATACCCTTTTTAATGGGTTACAATTTATTTTTGTTATTTTTATGTTTTGAAATATTTTATTTCAGCTTGTTACTTTTATCATAGTTTGAGAGAGAATGTTAATTTGATTGTGTTTGGAAATGTCCTCCAAGTATGTATAAGTCTGTGGTCTAACCATAGCTCAGCAGTGATAAAACACTGGGCTGGTATCATGACCTGTGTATCGGCAGAATGCCACTCTGGTTTTCTAATGGAGCTCTTATCTAACAACTTTTACTGGTTTGTTATATTAGAAAGGAAATGAAAGTTTGCTTAACAGAAAGACAAATAAAGCCTAGAACAAGACGTGGAGTAATGAAGCACTAACAGCCACACAGTATGGATTTTTCAATCCTCAATTGTCCTTACTAGTGTGAACATGAACTATGCCAGGATTTCCCATCCAGAGGCATGTCTTATTTCAGGGCTATATGTGACAGATTTAGGCCTAGTTTGTGCTTGCAGTTTAGGGGTCAGTAAAAATAGGTGGTTGATTAGCATGTTTGCAGTCCCTCTTAAAGTGGATCTTCACCTTCAAATGAAAAGCCCCTCCTGTCCACCCAACTTTCGCTCTGCATCCTGAATATCAGATTTTTTTTTTTTTTTTCCGAAAAAGGGTTTAGTCCTGCCTCCAATACACGTCATTAGCCACAGCGAATGACGTGTACTGTGCCTCCTGAGATATGTATGTAGCACTACCCCTTTAGGAGTCGCTGAGCTTTGGGTCCCCCTAAAGCTCTGCACAGCCAAGTAACACACATTTTCTTCCACACTTGCATACTGGAGACAGTAAACAGTTCTTGAACTTGGTTTTGTTTCTTGTTGAACTCAAGGACAACTTAGCAACTATGTACAAAAATGTGAACAAAAATAGTCTCTTCTCTAAGAGCATCCAAAGCTCTTTGGTGTACCTTCTCAGACCCCAGATGAATTCTTATCTTCACCCAGCTGCCTGAGGGTATTCCCTGGGCAAAAAATGTAGCTGTAGAACGGTCCTGGATGTAAACTCATTGGGTATTGCAACTGACCGCCCTCTCCCCTTATCTGGCCCAGGGTATGTAGGAGTACTCACTCTGTCTTTCCCTGTTTTTTTGGTGGGGTGGTGGCTACCTTCAGGCCTTATGCTGGGCTGGCGCCTTCCCTGCATCACAGGCCATGCTCCCAAGGAGACAAAGGTAAAGAGGAGATCCACCCTTCTAGCGACTACCTGCAGGTGGGCTCCTTTCCCTGGGGTCCCCTGCCAGGCTTCTCACTCTGGCCATCTTCCACCTGACTTTCCCAGGCTCTGAGATACTTAGGGCTGCCTTGATCATCTTGCTCAGTCTCCTGCCAGGGGATTGGCCAAGGTCCCTCAAGTATGCAGATCTGAGCCTCCTCTGTCACTTCTCCAGAAAGCTCTCAGGTTTCTGGAGAGGTGGGAGGGCTCCAGACGTTCTGACCTTCAGAACCTCCATAGCCTGTCTTGGGGTGAACTCATGCCTCACTCACAGGCTGACTCATCCTCAGGCTACTACTAGCCTCTGTCTAAAAAACGTATCTAGCTAACTTGGAGGGTGTTACATGTATATCGCATATCTCAGAAGCCTTAGCACTCCATTCACAGAGGAGGGTGGTGGGCCTTATTGGAAGCTCAATCAGGGGTTTGCAGGCTGAACATGGAGGAGCAGCTTGGCTTCCCTGTGAATAACCCACCACAGAGGCAGCTGAGGTTAAAGGAAAAAAAAAAAGATGGGGCGGGAGGGTGAAGATCCACTTTAAGTTGCAAAGGCAGCCGGGCATTGGTGTACACATGCCACAGCCGCGATGCTTGGGTCATGGCGAAAAAAAAGTTAACACCTCTGTCAAACACGTAGTCATGTTGCATCCTAAGGCAGACAGGGAGAGAGGGAAAGGGCTCATATACACTGCAGCTGATAAACTCACTTTTAGGAGCTGTTCAGCATTTTTTTCAGCAGCCCCTGAACTCACCCTAATGTTTTCCTATGTGTCCATGTACACATCTTTGTTTACAGGCATTTGAGTTTACAGTCTTTTTTTTTTTTGAATGCAGAAAAATTGTGTTCAGCAGTCGATTTTATCAGCATTTCAAACGCAAAACGCTTGTAAACGCGGCAAATCGCATTTATAAGCATTTGAGTTCCCGATGCTGTCCAGAGCCTTTTTTCATCATGAAAAATGCATGCAAAGCGTTTTCAAGGTACTCAAATGGACAAAACACTGAACACAGGATGTTCCTACCAAACTTGTCACACATTGTAATGACCAATTCACACCTCAGACCTCTCCCACCCTTGGAAACAAAAGATATGTTAATGACCATTCACACCTCAAATTCCTCATGAAGACCCCCTGCTAGGTGGCCTTAATGACTCAATCCACCAGACACCTTTCCCACCCTTGGAAACAAAAGAAATGTTAGTCAACAACTCACACCTAAGCTAATTATTATTATTATTATTATTATACAATATTTATATAGCGCCAACAGTTTGCTCAGCACTGTACATTACAATGGGAGACAGTACAGTAACAATACAATTCGATACACGAGGGGTTCGAGGGCCCTGCTCCTTGGAGCTTACAATCTAGGAGGGAGGGGATAGTGGTACAGGAGGAAATAGCTGTGGGGGATGGAGTGGTAGGAAGAGTGGAGGAGATCGACAATTAGCTGAGGAGGGTAGGCTTCCCTGAAGAGATGGATTTTCAGGGTGCGCCTAAAGGAGAGGAGAGTAGGTGATAGTCTGATGGATTGGGGTAGGGAGTTCCAGAGGATGGGGGAAGCCCTGGAGAAGTCCAAGAGACAGGCATGGGAGGAGGAGACCAGGGAACTAGAGAGTAGGAGGTCTTGTGAGGAGCGGAGAGTACGTTTTGGGTGGTATTTGAATATCAGATCGGTGATGTAGTTTGGGGCAGTGTCATGAACAGCTTTGTACGTCAGTGTTAGCGGTTTGAATTTTATCCGTTGGGCAATCGGAAGCCAGTGGAGGGATTGGCAGAAGGGGGTGGCAGATACAGAGCGGTTAGTAAGGTGGATGAGTCTGGCCGCAGTATTCAGGATAGACTGAAGCGGGGATAGCCTGTGGTGAGGTAAGCCGGTGAGGAGGGAGTTACAGTAGGAGAGGAGAGTAGGTGATAGTGTGATGGATTGGGGTAGGTAGTTCCAGAGGATGGGGGAAGCCCTGGAGAAGTCCTGGAGATGGGCATGGGAGGAGGAGACCAGGGAACTAGAGAGTAGGAGGTCTTGTGAGGAGCGGAGAGTACGTTTTGGGTGGTATTTGGATATCAGATCAGTGATGTAGTTTGGGGCAGTGTTATGAACAGCTTTGTATGTCAATGTTAGCGTTTTGAATTTTATCTGTTGGCCAATTAAAAGCCAGTGGAGGGATTGGCAGAGGGGGGTGGTGGATACGGAGCGGTTAGTAAGGTGGATGAGTCTGGCCTCCGTATTCAGGATAGACTGAAGTGGGGATAGCCTGTGGTGAGGTAAGCCGATGAGGAAGGAGTTACAGTAGTCAAGTCGTGATATGATAAGAGAATAAATGGGTTGCTTAGTAGTTTCCGGGGTTAGGAATGGACGTATTTTGGAGATGTTGCGGAGGTGAAGTCTACATGAGTTTGTCAGTGATTGGACCTGGGGCTGGAAAGACAGATTGGAGTCTAGGATGACACCTAGTACTCTGGCTTGCGGGGTGGGACTGACTGTGGCATTGTTGGTCGTGATGGAGAAGTCGGGGGGGGGGGGGCGGGCGCGGGCTGGGGGGGAAAACTAGGAGCTCGAATTTGGAAAGGTTTAATCTCAACACATACTGCTCTCTCTGCTTCTACTCTCTGTATTTCTCTGAAACAGTCTGAAATAGTTAATAATTTACCACTTTTCAGTGCATTCTGGGCATTTGGAAAGGTTCTCCTGTGCTTATCTTTAAAAAATGCTTCTAAACGCAAACGCGCATAATCGCATTATGCTAACACGGCTAAACGGATGTTTTTTTAACCTACGTTTTCCAGCAGTCAGTTTCCATCGTTCAGAAGTGTCCCGTGTACATGGGGCCAAAGGGGGAACACAAAGGAAAAAAGGGGGAAAAAAGCAAGAAGAAACACCCCAAATGTGACTCACATTAGATGATTCACTGATAAAGGAAACACACGGTGACAAAATCCACATGCCAATGTCAATCTTTGTAGTCTGTAATATCTCCTATGCATCCTCTCCCCGAGGCTATCTAGGCATAATAGTAGTAATAATAATACACAGGATCAAAAGGGATATCAATATATATTTTATTAACTTAAAGCGGAGTTCCACCCAAAAGGGGAAGTTCCGCTTTAAGGACTGCTCCCTATTAAGGATTGGCACCTTTGGGGAGCGGGTACCCAAATTTGACAGGTACCCGCTCCCAATTCTGGTCCGATCGCCTAGGCGATTGGAAATGGAAGGTGTCCTCCCTCCCTGTAGTGTTTTGGGACACGTGACAGGTCCCAGAAGACTACAGGACCATTCATGAAGCGCAGCGCTACTCGCGAATGCGTAGTGGGTACCCGGCTGTGAAACCACAAGCTGTTACAGCCGGGTGCCCACACTGAAGATGCCAGCCTCCTGTGTAAGGATTTTTCAGCTCTTGTAACATCTTGAACTCTGCCCTGGAAAAATAGGTAGTTAGAATAAGCAAGGTGAGATTATAAGGCTAGGTGTACACTTGCACGGGGGGGGTTAAAACACGGGCTTAAGCTACTCGCACAGGACCTGGAGGCTAGCTGCAATCACATGTAGATTCATGTAGCATTTACTTCCTGGAATATATCTGCCCTTAGCTCGGGCATGCAGGCAGGAGGGTGTGCTTAAAGCGGAGTTCCACTCAAAAGTGGAAGCTCCGCTTGTTTGCCTCCTCCCCTCCCTCCACTGCCATATTTGGCACCTTTTTGGGGGGAAGCAGATACCTGTTTTTTAACAGGTACCCACTTCTGGCTCAGTTCGCCACGGCGAAGTGAGACAGAAGTTCGGTCCCCTCCTCCCTCCCACAGTCTCCTGGGAACTTTCACAGGTCCTGGGAGACTGCCGGACCAATTAGGAGGCGCAGCGCGACTCGCGCATGCGCAGTGGGCACCAGGCTGTGAAGCCACATCTGTCACAGCCTGGTGCCCACAGTTGAGATGTCGGCGTCATAGCGGAGAGAAGGGACTGCGCGGGTGAGAACATTGCTGGACCCTGGGACAGGCAAGTGTGTGTTTATTAAAAGTCGGCAGCTACAAATTTTGTAGCTGCCGACTTAATAAACACTAAAACGGCTGGAGCTCCACTTTACCTGTGAAAACCCCTCCTCCCCTTCTGAAGACTCCTGGGATGTATGGCTTTGTTTGCCTAGGCCAGAAACCAGGAAGTAACTGAAGAAATGTATGTAGTTCTGGAGTTCTCACGTCACTCTGATTTTCTCATCTACAAGCTTGCTGCAGGTCAGAGACTTGGAAATTGTTGAGTCCAGAAACAGCCAGTCATTCATTCATTCTAGAAGATCAATAATGGCAGGTTGCATCTTCCTACCACTACAGGGTTTTTAAGTGCCGACTGCTTTTTTGTTTAGCAGTCTGTTGTACCAAGTGTGGATTAAACCGCCAACAGTATACTGGCATCAAATTTACAAATTAAGAGCTGAGAAATCTTTCTAACTAGCATTGCCAGTGATTGCTTTGTAAACAATAACCCTTGTTAGTACTGCCAACAATTTGTAAGGATAACAGAGTTAGTGGAGCTACAAAGGACTTGGCATTGCATCATAGACTCTACGAGTATTAATGTATGATGGAGGCACCGTGGCTCTACTGCAGTCAGCTGAAATACAAAGGAACGGAGATATTTATTATAATGACCACAATAGTTACAATGACATTAACCAATTGCCCACCGCTCTATAGCAGAAATACTGCTACAGGGTGGCAGGGCTGTGCAAACTCGTGTGTGTATATATACGTGATTTACATGTCTTGGTAGGGGGTGTGTGCGCGCGCACCACCAAATCCGCAGTGCCATTGGCGGCTACGGATGTCAATCACCGGAGCCTGGCCGGAGATTCTCCGCTGGTACCTGGCGATCGCCAAGTAACACTGACGGGAGAGACCTGTGTGTGAACATCACAGGTCTTTCTCCTGCCAGCAATAACATGCCGCTGTGTATTTCTCTGCACAGCAGAGAAATACACAGCAGCATGTTTCCCAAGTAAAACACACACAGCACATGTTGTAAAGCACAGCACACAGTTAACCCTTTGATTGTCCCAGATGTTAACCCCTTCCTGCCCAGTGCCATTAGTACTATTAGTACTAGTATTAGTACATCATTATATTACAATTTTTATTAGCACTGATCACTGTATTAGTGTCACTGGGGATGACCCCCCCCCCTCCCCCTTAGTGTCAGAATGCCTGCTGCAGTCCTGCTATAAGTCGCTGATCACCACCATTACTAGTATTAAAGAAAACAAATTTCCAGTATCTATACCGCCATTTGTTAATGCTATAACATTCGCATAAACCAATTTATTTACATGTATTTTCAGCAAAGACATGTCGCAGAATACATTTTGGCCTAAATTTATGATGAAATTAGATTTTTTAAATTTTTTTACTGGATATGTTTTATAGCAAAAAAGTAAAAAATATTGTATTTTTTTTTTTTTTTCCAAAATTGTCAGTCTTTTTTTGTTTATAGCAGAAAATATAAAAAACACAGAGCTGATTAAATGCCACCAAAAGAAAGCTCTATTTGTGAGAAATAAAGGATATAAAATTCATTTGGGTGCAGCGTTGCATGACCGTGCAATTGTCAGTTAAAATAACGCAGCGCCGTATCGCAAAAAATGGCCTGGTTAGGAAGGGGGGTAAATCCTCGGGAGGGCAAGTGGTTAAAGTGACACTAAATGATATGCTTATTCTCCAAAAAAAAATCTACACACATCCAATACTTATCATCCCTGTAATCTATTTTTCATGAAACTGTTTCTTACTGTGTTTTTCTTCCTCCTTGTAACATCCTTCCTGAGTGACTGAATCTCTTCTTTTCCCCTTCACTTCTGTTTGTTCCAGATGAGCAGAGCATGTAGGTTGTGGCCATCTGTATTGCTCCTATACCAGGGTTCCTCAACCAGGTTTCCTCCAAAGGTTGCCAGATGTTCCTTGAGCAATTACCAATTGCTGCCTCTCAGATCTCTATAAGAAGGGCATGTGACTACAATGACTACAAGTGTAAGGAGCATTCTTCCCTCTGACCATCACACTAATGTATGACGAGATAGATATAGTCCTTTTTAGTCGGGGTTTCCTGAGAATGGAAAATTATTTCAAGAGTTCCTCTGTGTTGAAAAGGTTGAGAAGGCCTGCTCTATATACACTTTAGATCCCATAGTCCCTAGTAGGGATGCATCAATACCCTTTTTGTATATGACGAGTACCGATACTTTGTCAAGTACTCGCTGATACCAATACTTTGTGGTGCAATTTGCGTCCATGCAAGATGTATGGATGCAAATTGCACCACAAAGAATAGCATACAATTCCTGTCCAAATCTCATGCAGTTTCCCCACTGCTCTCATGTGAACTCAGACTTTCATAGCCTGAGTTCACACAGGAGTGGTGCAGGGAGGTTTCCCGCAGCAGAGTGGAGATGTATACCGTGGTTACAGATGCTCCATGTTCTCAGCGGTTGGAAAGGAGAGAAGGCAGCAGTAATTTGAAATCCCCGCTGCTTCCTTTCCTTCCAGGTATGACAGTTTGGGCTAGAGGGCTTTTGATTGGTCAGCACCGTCACATGGATGGTGCTGACCAGTCAGATGCTATCTAGCCTGTACTGTCATCGCTGCCAGGAGAGGAGAGAAAGCTACGTCACAGATCTGGGGATTTGAAATCCTGGCATCTTTCTCTCCTCTCCTTGCAGCGATGGAAGCACGGGTTAGACAGCATCTGATTGGTCAGCACCATCCATGATTTGATGATTGAATATTTCAGATCTCCACTGCTTTCTCTCCTTTTCTTGCCACTGAAAATATGGAGCATCTGCCACCATGGTATACATCCCTACATGCTCACTCTCCGCTCAGCATGGGATTCCTGCAGGGACATTTTCCTCATGTGTGAACTCGGGCTATGACAAGCCTGGGTTCACACAGGAACAGTGGGGAAACCACATGTGATTTGGACAGGAATAGCATTCCTGTTTAAATTGCATGCTGATATTTGCAGTGCAATTTGTATTGACGCAAATCGCACTGCAAATTATCGGTTTACAGTGTCATTAGCATTTTCAGGTGTACGAGTACTCATGAAAATGTTCAGTATTGGCACCGATATCTGTGCATCCCTAGTCCATCTTGGCAACGAGCAAGAGAGGGTGACTACATTCCTACATACAATGGGACCATTGGGAACAAACGGAGCCACCTTCTAACAGGAAGTCAGATCACAGCAGCAAATGTGGCTTAAAACCTTTCAACTGCTGCAACTTCTGTTCCATTATCCCCTTGTCAATCAGGCAGCTGGGTTGATCCCGACAATACAGTCAGGATCCTTCCAGAGTGGGACATCAGCTGAGAGCAGTCTTTTGCAAGAAATTGCATTCCTGTGACCCACAAGAAAAGTATGGGCTAAAGCTTTGGTCATACTTCTTCTCTTTTAAGTGGGGAACCCAAGATAACCATGGGGTTGTATTTACTAAAACTGGAGCATTCAGAATCTGGTGCAGCTGTATATGGTAGCAAATCAGCTTCTAACTTCAGCTTGTTCAGTTAAGCTTTGGCAATAAAACCTGGAAGCTAGGAGTGCGCATGTGTGGCCGCCGGGATCGGATGTCCCGGCATTAGCTCCGCACATCTCCGGCGCTGATATAAGGGCATAGTGCTGCCTCACTCCCGCCCCCCCCCCCGTCCTGAACCGGACCTCGGGCACCTGACCTAATGCCCGAAAAAACGGCGGTAAAGAGCCGTGGAGGCTCCCAGATGTGGCTCCCTGCGGGGACTGGGAGATCCAAGATGGCGGCCGGATCGGCGCCCGCGGCTCCTGGTGCCTCCTCTGCCTCTCTCACGGCAGCACCTCTCCTCCAGAGAGGGAGAAAACGGGCTCCTCTTCCCACACTGGACCAGGGAGGATTGCAGTAGCATCATCAGCTGGGGTGAGTGACTCCCTGCAGCCCCCCCAGTCACCCTCCAGCCCTGTACCACCAGAGTTTCAGGCTTCGGCCTGTTCCTTGGGCCATGACTCCCCTGCCTCCTCGCCATTGAGCAGCGAGATCGCTTGCATTTTTTCCAGCCAGCATAGCGGTCTAGTGCCCGCAGATGACAGCCCGGCTTCCTCGCCAACAATTCCTCCTGACCCGCCTCTATATTCGGGTGACGCGATAGCTCGGTTCGCAGATTTGCTGCAACGCGAACTGGACAGAGCTACCTCAAAATAGGCGCTGACCTTAAGCAGGATTTTCAGGCCTTGGGCCACCGTCTGGAGAGTATCGAGGCTAAAGTTGATGCGACAGCCCATAGTGTCTCCCAAAATTCTAACATGATCATCGACTTGCAAGATCGCCTGGAGGAAGCATACTCTAAAATTGATGATCTGGAGAATCGGGCCAGGCGATACAATTTTCGCATTCGAGGACTCCCTGAGTTGGTTAAGGAGCTCACTAGCTGCGCACACACCCTCATGCGGTCTGCTTTGCCTGACATTGATGACCTTCATCTTGAGATAGATCGCATTCACAGGGCATCGATCCTCCCCCCGGCAAGGGAGCCTCCTAGAGATATCATCGTCAAGCCTCATTTTTTCCAGGTCAAGGAAGCGGTTATGCGATATGGCAGGGAGAATCTGGATCTAGAGCTTACGGGGCACAAGATACAAATCTTTGCTGATGTCTCTCCGGCCACTATCCAGAAGCGGCGATCACTCAAGCCACTACTCTCTCACTTGGTTCAGAAGGGCATTAGATATCGTTGGGGCTACCCTTTTCGTCTGCAGTTCACTCTTAATGGAAAGTCCTATGGGTTTGCTACATTCCAGGATGGCGAGGAGTTGCTGCTTCAGCTGGGTATTATCTCTCGCAGTCCGGCATTCCATTCCCCTATGGGATCGGCTCCTCAACCTCCGCGCTCCAGCCATTGTGGACTACACCATCATCTAAGAAGAAGGGGTCCCGGAACCCACCTGGGAAGATCCCTTGAACTTCTGTGTCCTTTTGGGGACTTTTCACTGTGATGTGTTGATTGGTGGTGGCCTCTCTGTGGCTCCTAAGAGCATTGGCCGCTGCTGCTGTGTTGGTGTGGGGGGATTGGCGGGGGGGGGGGGGGGGCTGGGGGCGGAACTTGGGGTGTAAATTGCTTTGCTGAATACCATTTCAAACGGTTTCATTGTTTTGTTTTTAGATTAAAATGCACTATACTTTTGATTTATTGCTGATGGGTTACTGTTGCTGTCGGTGCCGGAGAGTGTCTTTGCGCTCTCCCTGATTGGAAAACTCTTCCCCGAGATCGTTTCTCTGGGCAGATCTATTCCACCACAGGGCTATTCCTCTGTATTTCCTGGTACATTGTTTGATTCATTTATATAGTATTGTTTCGTGTACTGCGGTTACTTGACATTCAGACTTTTGTGTTCCGAATGTCTTCTCCTTTCTCTTCCCTTTTTCTCCAATTTTTCTCTTTGTCTTTCTCTGTTTTTCTCTGGGGTCAGCTGGCAACATTTAATGACTCTTAGGGACACTTTTCGGGAACGAGGGGTCTCTATCCTGATTAGCTCCTTAATTACTTATAATGTCTTCCCTACGGTCAACTAGAGGAGGAGTTTGTCTAATTTCTCACAATGTCCAGGGGCTTAATTCCCCTTACAGGAGACACATTTCCCCCCCTCCTTCTCTTCTCCACGCTATATCCATAAAAATTACCCTCTCTGCTTTTTTGCTAATGCGACAGAGAAAAAATGGGGGGTGGCCCTTTGCTTTTCTCGCCGATTGTCCTTTAACGAATCTAAAATTATCCGGGACAAGGAGGGGCGATATCTTCTGGTGAAAGGCAACTTGGGAGGAAACCTTATAACTTTTCTAATCTATTATACCCCCAATACCAATCAGGTGGAATTTTTCCAGTCCCTGCTAAGCACTCTGGTCGGAGAATTTGAGGGTGACATTATTCTTGCTGGTGACTGTAATCTAGCATTGGACCAGACTCTAGATCGTTACCAAACCGTCACACTTCAGCCTCCTTCTAGACGGAGCTGTAAGTTGGATCAACTCTTATACCGCTATGACTTTATTGATGCATGGAGGGAGGCTAATCCTACTTCCCGAGACTACTCCCACTACTCCAGGGCTCATAATAGTTATTCCCGCATTGGTCATATTTTTCTTCATACACATTCACTCCCCAAACTTGTTACTGCTAAAATCTTCTCCACGCCCTGGTCTGACCACGATCCAGTTTCTATAACCTTGTCGTCCGAGACACCTGGTAAGACTGCTTTTCACTGGCGTGTTAATGACTCTATTTTGGGTAACCCCTCTCATTGTCGGGAAATTTCCTCACACCTGCAGATATTTTTTGACTTTAATAAAGCAGAGGACACAAACCCAGCAATTAATTGGGCAGCTCATAAAGCCTCAGTCAGGGGATATATTATTCAACTTTCTTCTCGTCTAAAAAAAGCCCGAAATGACCTACTTACTACTAAAACTCAGTCATACACTGACCTGGTTGCTCAACATAAGCAAAATCCTAGTCCTGATTTGTTACTTAAACTTGACCAGGCCCGACTGGAACTTAACTTGTGTCTTACTACCACTGCTGACAAACAACTTCGTTGGTCTAATTATAAATTTTTTACTTGGAGGGACAGACCTGGCACCCTGTTAGCACGCAAGCTGACCCCCAGACATTCCCAGACGGCCCTCCCCAAACTCAGACTGGATAACGGTTCGTTATCCCAGGACCCTGGTAAGATCCTCCACAAATTTCATTCTTTTTACACTCAACTTTATAGCTTGCCCAAAGGGGGCTCTTCTTCTTCTCTTGATACTTTTTTGGAGTCTATTTCACTCCCCCCCCCCCCCCCTCCAGGAGGCCCATAGGTCGTTCCATTATCTCCCTATCTCATGTGAAGAAATCGGGAATGCGGTGATATCTCTTGCCTCTCATAAGGCCCCAGGACCGGATGGTCTTCCCAATAATTACTATAAAGCTTTCCCTGATATTCTGACGCCCCATATGGCCCTCTACTTTAATTATTTACGGGATGGAGGAATGGTACTCCCGGATGAAAATAAGGCATTCATCAGTGTCATTCCCAAGCCTCTCAAGGATGCCGCTATGGTCTCCAATTACCAGCCTATTTCCTTAATTAATTGTGAATTAAAGATTCTTACTAAAATCCTGGCCCTACGTCTTCATAACTTCTTGGCCCTATATATTCATGATGACCAATCAGGATTCATAAGCGGTCGACAAACATCGGACCAAATTAGACGGACTATAGCTTTGCTGTCAGCTGTGCAGTCCAATTGGGACGGATCTCCACAGAGGGAAATTCTACTACTGTCACTGGATATTCAGAAGGCATTCGACAGTCTGCCCTGGGACTATTTATTTTGAACGTTAGACAAATTTGGGTTTGGCCCTTATTTTACGACGCTGTTGTGGGCCCTCTATTCTACTCCGTCCGCTCAAGTTTCCATTCGTGGATATAAATCAGTCCCTTTTTCGATAGAACGAGGGACTAGACAGGGATGTCCTCTTTCTCCATTGCTCTTTGCGTTGGCAATGGAACCACTTGCGATTGCGATATTCGTGCTGATCCCACTATCTCGGGCGTTAACTGTGGTCATCGGGATCATAAATGCGCCCTATTTGCTGATGATGTTCTCATGTACATATCTAATCCTCGAACTTCTCTGCCTGGTTTCTTCCATTTGTTTCATCGGTTTTCTGAGGCCTCCGGTCTTACGCTCAACTCATCTAAAACTGTTGCTTTAAATATCTCGTTACCTGATTCGGAGGCTCGTTACTGCCAGGAAAATTTTGATTTTCAGTAGGCCCCTGGTTCTCTCCCCTATCTGGGGATTCTCCTCACGAAATCTATATCAACGTTATACAAGGCCAACTATCTCCCGCTTTTCAAACAACTTAAAAATGACTTACTAGACTGGCAGGATCTCTCACTTTCCTGGTTCGGTAGAATTAATTCTATTAAAATGACCTTTCTACCAAGATTATTGTACTATTTCAGAACACTACCAATCATGATCCCCAAACGGGAACTGTTATTACTACAAGCAGCAGTCTCTAGATTTGTGTGGAGGGGAAAACGCCCTAGGCTTAACAAATCTACCTTATTTTCTTTGAAGAGGCATGGCGGTTTGGGACTCCCTAATCTGTTAGCATACTTTCAGGTGGACCAAATAGCACAGTTATCATGTACTATGGCCAGGGGATATGTCCCCCAATGGGTTGGGATTGAGGCCCTTTCGTGACGTCCATATGCTATTGGTACTCTCGTGGCTTCCCAGTGGATTGCGTCCTCCTATTTTGTGTCCTACTCTATCCTATTCATTATCGGTGTGGGATAGATGGGCGAGCTCGTAAACCTTTCTCCTCTCCGCATACCCCGTTGGCCCCGATGTTTGTTTGGTAATCCTGAGTTTGCCCCGGGTCTATCTTTCGCGAGGTTCCAGTGGTGGATGAATAAGCGGTTGTTACGTATCGGAGACTATTTAGATGGGGTTCATCCTCGGTCTCCTCATTATTTTGTGACTAATTATAGGATGCCTCACAGAGAAATATTCGTTATCACCAACTTCGCTCTTTTATCAATAGCAAGCTAAGATTACTCACAGAACCTTGTGCGCTTACTTCCCTCGAGGTCTCCTGTGGGGCAAATGGGATGATGTGAGGTCGTTTATCCATTATTTATGCTTCGTTGGTTGATCTCCTCACTAAATTATCCTACATGACCCAATGGGAGAGGGATTTAAATAGTTCATTAGATTTAGATACATGGCGGAATGCGGCTCATACTCTATTGAAGATCTTGATTAACACTGATCTTGTTGAATCCAACTATAAAATGCTACTTCGATGGTATTTGGTTCCTGCTCGCCTAGCCATAATGTATCCTTCCGTGTCATCTAGCTGTTTCTGATGCTGTGGTCAAGAGGGTACCATGTTCCACGTTTGGTGGAAATGTCCAGTTGTGAGTAGGTTCTGGATCTGCATATTCAATTTTATTTACTCAGTAACAGGAGTTGGTATCCATAGATCGCCGGAAGTGGCTTTGTTCAATATACTACCCTCTGACGTCCCCAAAAAATCGACTAAACTAATTTTATACCTATTACTGGCGGCTCGCATTACCATAGCTAGAAGTTGGAAACAATCCTTGATCTCCCTAGATAGGGCGAAACAAAAACTTAACTGGATAATGGTTAACGATAAACTGACGAGTATTGTCAATGACGATATGTCCAGATTTGAGAGGACTTGGGAGCCTTGGATTAATTATATTACTGTATCGTGAGAGTCTTGCAGCTGATACCCCCCCTCTTATTTTCTTCCTTTCCCTTAGGAGTAATTTCCTTCTTCTCTTCTCTCTTTTTCTACTTTATTTGCTGAATTATTTCTGTCACTTTTGGTTCATTCACTCGGTTCAATTTCTGTTTATTGATTTATGAAACCTGTACGTCTTGATGGTTATGGCACTTTCTGTGTGTATTTGTAATGCCACCTTTCGATAATCTTTTTGCGTGCCTATCAGTGTTATGATTCAGATTCTATATCTCTTTCCATTATGTAGGTGGACTTTTTGTTTGCCATCTCGTTTTATGCATTTATATGCTTGTTTCTCAATAAAAATATTGAAATATAAAACCTGGAAGCTGATTGGATTCTATTGAGAGCTGCACCAGATGTTGCACTCTCCTGCTTTAGTAAATAACCCCCATAGTATTTCTTTTTCCTCCTGCATGAGCCAACAGATGTTTCCTGGCCAGGGGCGGACTGACCATTTGGAAACTCAGTAGGGGGCCCCATGAGATGCCCCTGGTACCTTATTCATAGGCTTTTTTGAGTTTGGGCAAGGACACGGGCCCCATGATCCCCTATTGCCCGGGGGCTCAATGAGTTGTCAGTCCGCCCCTGTTCCTGGCCTATGGTTAAATTGCAATGATCTAACTCCCCTGAGTGGGCTGAGCTATTTGGATTTATCCTGACCATTGTCACAGGAATAGAAATGGATGGGAAATCCAGAGTTTTATAGTAGTCACCATAACAAGAGGTGAGAGGAAACCAGGGGCGGACTGACCATTCATGGTCTCGGGCACTGTCCGAGGGCCCAGGGTCAGTAGGGAGTCCCATGAGATGCCCCTAGTACCTTTCATAGGCTTTTTTGGTTGTGGTTTGAGTGTGGGTGAGGACACAGGGGCCCATGATTCCCTATTGCCTGGGGGCCCCATGAGATGCCCCTAGTACCTTTTCATGGGCTTTTTTGGGTGTGGTTTGAATGTGGGTGAGGACACAGGGGCCCCATGATCCCCTATTGCCCGGGGGCCCCATGAGTTGTCAGTCCGCCCCTGGAGGAAACCATTCAATCCAAGCACCTCTTCCAGTGACAGCTGTCAAAACTGGGACTTCCTCTCACATCAAAGAGATTTTCTTCCATTTCCTCTTTGGAACAGACAATTAAGGGAAATCTCCTGAACTGGAGACACAGCCCCTTTCTCTATATCCATACAGCTGCTTTATAAACATAATTTAGGGCCCATCAACTCCTTTGGTGCATTAAGGTAATGCACGTTTTTTCATGCATTTAATGTATATTATGTTAAGGTAGTCCATTCAGATGAGTGTGCTGGCAATGCATGCATGTAATATGTTGAAGTGTGCTGCAATGCATGTGTGTTGAAGCTGTGTTGCCTTATTGTGTTGGGGTGCCATACAAAATTAATGGCACCCCATCTTGCTAACGGACATAACTTCTATTGATTTGCATTGGTATAGTGCTAACGTTGCCACAATGCACCGCAGAGCAAAGTGTGTTTCAGTTGTGGTTAGTTCCCCTCTATAAAGGTTAGTGCTTCTCAATACAATGGTCACTGCTCCTTAATGTGGTGGTCAGTGCCCTTCAATGCAGTGGCCAATGCAGTTCAATGCCCCTCTGTGGTGGTCGGAGCCCTTTGCAGTGGTCAGAGCCTATCTGTGGTAGACAGCACTGAAGGACACTGACCATTACATTGAAGGGCACTGTTTCCCATAACCTTCAGTGCTGTGGTCAGTGCCCCACCATGGTGGTCATTGCCCTTCTATGTAATGGTCAGTGTCCTTCAATGCGGGGGTCAGAGCCCTTCAATGTAATGGTCAGTGTCTTTCAATGGGGTGGTCAGTGCCCTTCATTGTGGTGGTCAGTGCCCTTCAATGCTGTGGTCAATGCCCCTCTGTGATGGTCAGTGTCCTTTAATGCAGTGGTCAAGGTCCTTCAGTGCAGTGGTCAGTGTTCTTCAGTGCAATGGTCAGTGCCCCTCTGTGATGGTCAGTGCACTTCAGTGGTCTGTAATATGTGCCCTCTTCTCATTGATGGTTGGTGGGAGCATTGCGTACTCACCAGTACAAATTCCACTCAGCTGTCTTCTGGCTCCTGGATCTCTGCTTGTGCTCTTGGGCCAGAACTATGGAGGCAGCTTTGGACTGAATCTCTCTCTGCCCAGCGCTGCCTGCATAGAAGTGAGCAAATCACTCGATAGATGGACTTGATCTGTTAGCACTCTGGTTAGTCGTGGAGCACTGGGTACAAGACTTGGGCATGTGCCTCTGATACCAGGGTCTAGTGATTTGTATGCTGACTGATTAGCCTGTCTTTGCTGTCCCCAAGCCTGTTCCACAGGGCCATGTTTCAGTGCCTTGACTTTGACTGACCAAAACAATGAATACACGTCACTTCTAATATTACCTAGTAAGCATTCCCTTAGCTATGTATGTGCAGTTTTCTGTTTTTATAGAGCAATTATTGGTAAAACATGAAAAGATTCGACCCGCGCCTTCAGACAAAATGTGCTTTTGACTTCATTGGTGACTGTGCACTGCTTCAGGAAATCCATTTATTTCCGTTCAATTGGGAACTTATCATAGTTTATGGAAGATAAAGTTTGGCTTTGGAATGATCCTCAGTCTCTGCATGTGCCAGACTCTGGTTTCTGACTCTCCTTCCTGACACATGAAAAGTACAGAAAGTCATGTTCTGTCCTGACCGGGATTCACATGTATTGGAGTATGCTTGGAGAAGCAGAGAGATGTAGACGTTACGTGGGAGTTTGGAGATTACCAGTTAGTCCTAATGCACACTGGACATTTTTACAGCTGCTGTTTTTGGCTTTGGCATCTTTTTCTACAGCCAGTAAACTCCCCAGCATGTTATCCTATGTGTTCATGCACACATAGACTGTAATCAGCATTTTTTGGCAGGGGTGTTTTTTGGCTGCAAAAAAAACCCCAGAACTAGTGGGTTTCTAGAGGAGTTTTTTAGCTGTAAAAATGTTCTAATGCTAAAAAACTTGGCAAAACGCGGTAAAATGCGGCAAACCAACGTTTTTGGACTTTTTTGAGCAAAAAAAAATATTTTTTTTTTGTTAAAGAAAATGCAGCAAAACGCCATTAAAAACTAATGCAAAATGATGTAAAATGCAAGTTTTTAACGTGACTTTACACAGATAACGTTATCAGTGTTCTTAAAACGCCCAGTGTGCATGGAGCCTTAAAGTGGAGATTTCACATGAAATATGGAGGTTGTCATTACTAGCTGATTCTTCTGAATACTTTCTAAAACGTGTCTTTGGTTCAGTGGGAAATTACGGCCAGAGAAGCCAGCTAATGCTTCATTAAAGGTCAGCAATGGCAGCCTCCACTATACCTGCAGTAGCTTTGGCCCCCAATTTCACTCCAATGTTGGGCTGTTCTGATTGGGCAAAGCTCCGACACTTCCTAGTCATGTTGAAGCTTGCCTGCTCTCTTCCACCCTCCATCTATTCTATTTCCAGTGGCCCATCACTAAGATTTATTACCTTACTGTCCAATATATACATTATGTTTTGGAGGAGGAGAAGCATGACGTATTCTCTGATTTATGGACAGTTTTTTTTGGCTCTGTAGCATTCCTATAAAAGCACAACAATAATCCCCTACTCAGCAGCCGTCTGAATGGAGGACGGGAAGTGTCAGCAGGGCTCTATTATTTACAGCGGACATACTTGCAGGAAATGAGAAATTAGGGTATTTCACCTGGCTGTGCTGCCTGGCAGGGTGCCTGGATCAAAAAACTATCAGAACAGGCCTTTGGCTAGTAAATCAGTTGACCTACTGTATATGTTTTTCTGTACATATCTGTTTGCCGGGGGATAAGCTTTCTATTCTACTTTCAAAGCAGTGAGGGCCAGCTCACACTATCTGGTATTTATCAGTACCTGATCAATGTCAACAGTTGTTTTCTATGTGTTCTGTTCACACCACAATGCCCGTGTGATGTACAGTGCAAAAAAATAGAGACATACTGCATTTTTCTGCTGAGTGTTGGATGGCACCGCAGGTCACCACAACGAACTACAAAAAGGAAAAAAAAATCAAAACCATGCATCACATTGACATCCCCCCCCCACCCCTCCGCTCCGCACTGCCTAGTAAAACAGATATTAGGCTACATGCTTAAACTTTAGCATTTTGACAAGCTGATAGTATAAATGGACCCTAAGATTGTTTGTTTGTTTCTATATCGAGGCCCTTAACACTGGATTATTCTTATGGTGCCCGTAAACAATTCAATTTTATTCAATTAAAATGATCAAATCTGCAAAAAAAAAAACCTCAAACAGCCATAACTTCCTTTCCATTCGATTTAAACTAAGTTTAGATCTTATTTGATCAAACTGAGTCATAATGACCAGAGTGGAAAATTATTGATCGTTTTGCATTGATTGGCAGCACCAAGATGCTTTGTTCGTGAATACAATGGTATTTAATTAGATCCTGTCTAAATTGGCCCTAGTATATGTATGTATATATGAATGTAAGTTAGGGACCTTAGATTGTATGCCACTTTAGGGGTAGGGACTGATGTGAATGTACAATATATATATATATATATATATATATATATATATATATATATATATATATATATATATAAATATGTGTGTATGTAAAGCGCTGCATAAATTGGCGCTATATAAGTGCCTGTAATAAAAAAATAATACATTTCGATGGATCAGATTATGAGATTATGGCCTCATGCACACTGGATGGTTTTAACACTTCTCCTAGGGCAGTGATGGCGAACCTTTTTGAGCCCGAGTGCCCAAACTGCAACCCAAAACCAACTTATTTCTTTCAAAGTGCCAACACTGCAATGAAACCTGAATATCGAGCTTTTGGTTTAGAAAAAACAACTCGTACAGTAGTGCAAACTAATTAACAGTACAATTAACAGTACAGGGATGACCAGAGACTGCGGACACAGTACAGGGATGACCAGAGACTGCGGACACAGTACAGGGCTGACCAGAGATGACATAGTACAGAGACTGCGGACACAGTACAGGGATGACCAGAGACTGCGGACACAGTACAGGGATGACCAGAGACTGCGGACAGTACAGGGATGACCAGAGACTGCGGACACAGTACAGGGATGACCAGAGACTGCGGACACAGTACAGGGATGACCAGAGACTGCGGACAGTACAGTACAGGGATGACCAGGGATGACCAGAGACTGCGGACACAGTACAGGGATGACCAGAGACTGCGGACACACAGATGACAGAGAGGGATGACCAGAGACTGCGGACACACAGTACAGGGATGACCAGAGACTGCGGACACAGTACAGGGATGACCAGAGACTGCGGACACAGCACAGGGATGACAGAGACGGAGGGATGACGGTACAGCACAGGGATGACCAGAGACTGCGGACACAGTACAGGGATGACCAGAGACTGCGGACACAGCACAGGGATGACCAGAGACTGCGGACACAGCACAGGATGACCAGAGACTGACACCAGAGACCAGAGCGGACACAGCACAGGGATGACCAGAGACTGCGGACACAGCACAGGGATGACCAGAGACTGCTGGGGACACAGCACAGGGATGACCAGAGACTGCGGACACAGCACAGGGATGACCAGAGACTGGGACACAGCACAGGGATGACCAGAGACTGGGGACACAGCACAGGGATGACCAGAGACTGGGGACACAGCACAGGGATGACCAGAGACTGGGACACAGCACAGGAGATGACCAGAGACTGGGGACACAGCACAGGAGATGACCAGAGACTGGGGACACAGCACAGGAGATGACCAGAGACTGGGGACACAGCACAGGAGATGACCAGAGACTGGGGACACAGCACAGGAGATGACCAGAGACTGGGGACACAGCACAGGAGATGACCAGAGACTGGGGACACAGCACAGAGGAGATGACCAGAGACTGGGGACACAGCACAGGAGATGACCAGAGACTGGGGACACAGCACAGGAGATGACCAGAGACTGGGGACACAGCACAGGAGATGACCAGAGACTGGGGACACAGCACAGGAGATGACCAGAGACTGGGGACACAGCACAGGAGATGACCAGAGACTGGGGACACAGCACAGGAGATGACCAGAGACTGGGGACACAGCACAGGAGATGACCAGAGACTGGGGACACAGCACAGGAGATGACCAGAGACTGGGGACACAGCACAGGAGATGACCAGAGACTGGGGACACAGCACAGACCAGAGACTGGGGACACAGCACAGGAGATGACCAGAGACTGGGGACACAGCACAGGAGATGACCAGAGACTGGGGACACAGCACAGGAGATGACCAGAGACTGGGGACACAGCACAGGAGATGACCAGAGACTGGGGACACAGCACAGGAGATGACCAGAGACTGGGGACACAGCACAGGGAGATGACCAGAGACCAGAGAGTGGGACACAGCACAGGAGATGATGACCAGAGACCAGAGACTGGGGACACAGCACAGGAGATGACCAGAGACTGGGGACACAGCACAGGAGATGACCAGAGACTGGGGACACAGCACAGGAGATGACCAGAGACTGGGGACACAGCACAGGAGATGACCAGAGACTGGGGACACAGCACAGGAGATGACCAGAGACTGGGGACACAGCACAGGAGATGACCAGAGACTGGACTGGGGACACAGCACAGGAGATGACCAGAGACTGGGGACACAGCACACAGATGACCAGAGACTGGGGACACAGCACAGGAGATGACCAGAGACTGGGGACACAGCACAGGAGATGACCAGAGACTGGGGACACAGCACAGGAGATGACCAGAGACTGGGGACACAGCACAGATGACCAGAGACTGGGGACACAGCACAGGAGATGACCAGAGACTGGGGACACAGCACAGGAGATGACCAGAGACTGGGGACACAGCACAGGAGATGACCAGAGACTGGGGACACAGCACAGGAGATGACCAGAGACTGGGGACACAGCACAGGATGACCAGAGACTGGGGACACAGCACAGGAGAGACTGGGGACACAGCACAGGAGATGACCAGAGACTGGGGACACAGCACAGGAGATGACCAGAGACTGGGGACACAGCACAGGAGATGACCAGAGACTGGGGACACAGCACAGGAGATGACCAGAGACTGGGACACAGCACAGGAGATGACAGAGCACAGGGATGACCAGAGACTGGGGACACAGCACAGGAGATGACCAGAGACTGCTGACCTTTGGGGAGGAGAGGGGGAGCGGGTACCTGAATTTGACAGGTACCCGCTCTTACTTCCGCAGAGTTTTTTTTTTTTTATCTTACCTGTTCCTCGATGACCAGCCGCGCGCTGTCTTCCCGGCTTCTGTAGATGTGGACGCTCGTCGGACAGCCGGATGCCCACTTCCGCAGAGTGCGCATGCGGATGCCCGAGAAGCGCTGCGCTTTGTGATTGGTCCGGCGGCTTCTGGGATCTGTCATGTGTCCCAGGTACCGCCTTACCATTCACAAGGAGCACTGCTTCTTGTGCATGCGCACTTGGGACCCGGCTGTCACGCACACTACAGCCGGGAAGACAGCGCGCCGCTGGATTCTCCTGGCGTGCCCACAGATAAGGCTCGGCGTGCCGGCTGTGGCACGCGTGCCACGGGTTCGCCACCACTGTCCTAGGGGAATCCATCATTTTTTTATTTTTTTTTTCTGCCTCTCAACACCCCTCCATGCATACATAGGCTTTTTAGATGTTTTTGAGGCAGGGATGTTTAAATTCAGAAAAAAAAAACCCACTACCAGTGCTTGGGGTTTTGGCAGAAAAAATGATTGATGTGTTTAAATGCGCATTTAGCGCTTGAATATTAATTAATTTCAATGGCCAGAGTAATATTTAAAGTGCTTGATGTGCCTAAATGCGCAAAACTTAAAAAAGCATTTTTCTTCTGCCAAATTGCTGCTGTCAGGAGGAAAGAAATCTAGAAGGGCTAGCAAAACGTCCAGTGTGCATGAGACCTACATGGTGGAAACAGAGATGCGATTGTTAACTTACAAATGTAAGTTATGATCGAACTATTGATTGACACCAACTCCCCAGTGTCAGGCATATTGATTGAATGAGTTATCAACGATTGATCGATTATTTCTATTGGAAGAGAAGAATTGCAAAGGAACTCCATCATTTATCAAAGCATATAGGGCCACTATTAGGGCTCATGTACACTGCAGCTGATAAACTCATGTTTAGGAGCTGTTCAGCGTTTTTTTCAGCAGCCCCTGAACTCACCCTAATTTTTTCCTGTGTGTCCATGTACACATCTCTGTTTACAATCGTTTACAGGCATTTGAGTTTACAGTTGTTTTTTTTAACGCAGAAAACTTGCGTTCAGCAGTTGATTTTATCAGCTTTTCAAAGCAAAATGCTTGTAAATGCGGCTAAACGTGGCAAATCACGTTTATAAGCATTTGCGGTTGAAATTGTTTTTTAACTCTCCCAGTTCCTGATGCTGTCCAGAGTATTTCTTTCATCATGAAAAATGCATGCAAAGCGTTTTCAGAGTACTCAGATGGACAAAACACTGGACACAGGATGTTCCTACCAAGCTTGTTACACATTGGAATGACCAATTCACACCTCAGACCTCTCCCACTCTTACCAACAAAAGATATGTTAATGACCATTCACACCTAAAATTTCTTATGAAGACCCCCTGCCAGGTGACCTTAATGACTCCCTCCACCAGACACCTTTCCCACCCTTGGAAACAAAAGAAATGTTAATGAGCAACTCACACCTAAGCTAATCTCAACACATGCTGTGGTCTCTGCTTCTACTCTCTGTGATTCTCTGAATCAGTCTGAAATAGTTAATAATTTACCACTTTTCAGTGCATTCTGGGCATTTGGGAGGTTCTCCTGTGCTTATTTTTAAAGAACGCTTCTAAACGCAAACGCGCATAAACGTGTTATGCAAACACGGCTAAACAGACATTTTTTAACCTACGTTTTCCAGCAGTCAGTTTCCATCGTTCAGAAGTGTCCCGTGTACATGGGGCCTTAGGGTACCTCATACATAAGAGATAACCGTTTTTAGTTTGATCAGGTAACAATATTAGTCTGTAGGTGCCCTCAAGTCCACTGCTATGCGCTTGCATTTCTTCTCATTTTTAAAGATGTGCCCCAAGGTAAAAGGTTTAATAGATTATATTTATTGTGCTGCCATAAGAAACCATAGAAAGGTTACGTTGTGTAATCGGTCACACATGACTGGGATGACCCCCCCATCACAATGTTAATGACTGTTTTATTTGTGTCGTTGAATTAATAGGGCAGAGTTTACTCCCAGTAGTTTGAAGGACTGAAGAGAAGGATCAGTTCCGTGTGTTTGTGTTCCAGGAAGTATTATCGTGACCTGGCACAGACCAAAAAGTTTTGTTGATAGAAAAATAGAACTACATGTAAAAACAACTCTGCCACTTCACTGACTGACGTTCTCACAAGGTCGTACGCTGAAATAAGCTTTGTAGAGACTTTGTATTGTGTCTGGTGCACAGGGAGGAATGAACAGATGGGTATCACTTGTGAAAATACTATACTTCCAATCAGTTTTATTATACTTTTGTGCCATTGCTTTATTAGTAATATTCTAGGTTATTCTTGTGACGTTTAGTCTCATTTTTTTCAGTTTTTTTTTTTTTTAGTTTCAAAACTTTTTTGAAGACATTTGGCCTCTGCAGTGTGGGCAGTGTGGTTTGCACAGATTGGTCATTTAGGCTATTTTCACACTGATCCGCTGCAAAAACGCATAGGTGTTTTTTGCCACGCTTTCTGAGCGTTTTTTAAAGGACACTTGATTTAAAAACCACCAAAAACGCTTCTTAGAGGCGTTTTTCAGTTTTTTTTTCCATTTATTTCAATGGGAAGAGGCATTTTTGGGGTGTTTTTTTTAACTCCCCAGACATGCCCCAAACATGCTGCAGGCAGGAGTTTTTACACACCATAAGCGCAACGCGTCAGTGTGAAAACATACATAGATATACATTCACATACGTAGGGAAGCATTTTTCTTGAGCTTTTCATGTACTTTTTTTTTTTTAACACAAACGCTTCAAAAACTCCTCAGTGTGAAAGTAGCCTTAGTGATGACTCCCAAGGGAGCCACTGGAAATAATTTTGTTCTCCTACCTTCCCTGTATCTGGACCAGTCAGCTCACTAACAATTCTGGCAAAAACTAAGCTCCAGTTTTCAAGTTCTTTTTACTTAATTTATTGTTGGCACTCAAATGCAGAAGGGGTTAAGGCCCGGTTCACACTAGTCTGTGTAGAAAAACAGTGTTTTACCACCAGGGCAGCTGTCAGTGTGAGCTGCTGCAGAGAGCACTGGACGGCACGTTTCAGCAATGCTTACTTTCTTTTCTTTTTTTTTTTTTTTTTTGTACTGTTTTTGAAGTGTCATATTTTCTTTATGAGGGTGCACGTTATTGGGGGCTGCCCTAATGTGGTGGAGGAGAGGATCTGTGGATCTGTCTACCAAGCCCAGGGAAGAGGGCGGCGCTCTTCGGGGGCCCCCTCCCCCAGCAAGTACTTAGTGAACCAGCTTCGATAGGTCCGTAATGAGTTGGGGTCCACCTGGCTTTGGCCTAGGTAGACCATAGAGTACCATTCCCCTATCCAGAGCCTTGCACATGGGGGGGTACAGGGTTAGAGGCCTTTCCTCTTTGGAGGTTTAAACCATTACTGTACCCTCGTACATCTTTTTGTGTGATTTCACAGTCCACTTTTTTTTGTTCACAGGGGTTCAAAAACCAGCATACTGCACCACTTCATTTGTGTCTTTTAACAGCGGTACAGTATATTGTGCTGCAGGTTGGTGATATATGATGCCATCCAATGAGCTGTGGAAAAATGCAGATATGCAGAATTTTCCTGTACTGCACATCACACCAGCATTTTGGTGTAAACAGGGCACATAGAAAATATTTTTTTTAAATATAATCTTATGTTTTTATGCTTATGTTTTGAAGAACACAGATTTATTAGGACTGTGCACAGCAGCATTGCATTTTTCACATCGTTTTCACATGGTTTATGCACATGTTTTGTGATTTATTATCATTCAATATTTATTATTTACACATTGGGTCACGGTTGCTTATGTGATATATATATTTTTTGTCCACCTATTTTTATTGCTCACCAATTGCATCACCAGTTTATTTTCCATTCATTTGCACTTTTTTGTCACTTTTAATATCATATATTTATCTATTATTTATAAGTTTTTTTGGGTAGCGTAATATTTAATTTTCCAGTTGGGAAAAGGAACTCTTCCAATCTGAGAGACCTGGAGAAGTTAGCAAAAAAATAATGGTCTAATATTCCAGCAGAGAGGTATAAGAAACTCATTGATGGTTACAGGAAGCAATTGATTTCAGTTATTTTTTCCAAGGGGTGTGCTACGAAATATTAAATTGAGGGCGCTAATAATTTGGTCCAGCCCCATTTTTAGGTTTATCGTGGAATGTGTCAGATTTGGCTTTTTGTTTGTTCACTTTTTTTGTGGCATACCAATACAAACAAAAGAAATAAACATGAGGATGCCTAAACATTTGCAATTGCAGCAATTTTCTGGACGAAGTGGGGCATTATCTGATGAAAAATGCAGGGGTGCCAATATTTTTGCCCATAACTGTACTGTACCTCCAAAAATAATGCTGATAGACACCCAGATAATCCTGTAATCTTTTGAGTTGCAGTACAGTGTCTGCAACAAATTTGTGTACCTCTCAGAGACAGGAACATGAATTTATCAGAGGCATGGCAGGGGGCAGCACTGACGTCAGTGTTTCCATACCGTGGACACTGCTTACAACCAACTGACCGCCATCCTGTTTCAGTGTGAATGCAGGACAAATGTTGATACCTAATCTAACATGTTTTACAATATCTACCACTACTATAATTTAGTGTCTTTAGTTCAGAGGTGTCCTTTATGGTACTATATACACTCTGATTGAAGAGAACGATTACTTGGCACTTTTCTCATCAGCGCGTGTTGCAATTACATGGCTTGATGCAGCACTCTGAAAGACAACCATGTCACAGTCCCATGTCTCAGCTAAATATGACATTCCAGAGCTATGATGGAATGAAAACAAGCGTGTCTTGTTCTTTCATACTGCGGTTACATAAACACCTGGGGCTGCTAATTGTTTTCGTGACACTGTGAGATATTCCAGCATCTGTACTGGTCCTCCATGGGCATATGTGTTGAAGCTGGATTCCAGGTATCATTTTGCTTTATTACATTGGTCCAGCTTGTACAGTATGTGCTACACATGGCTGATCCCTGTGGAAGCCAGAGACCTGTAGTAGACACCACGTCTACAGTGATCTCCACTAACTGTCAGGATCCTTGCTGAGCAACTGCCCTGCTGTATAGTGAAAAGTGATGGGCTGAACACCCCCCGTTCGGTTAGCGGTCGAACAGTTGACCATGAACTGCGAACAGCAGTAACAATTCACGAACAATTCACTCTGAGTATGTGGTAAGATACCGCACAGCTACTAAAAACATTCTTTAATGTTTCAGGCTGTCAGCAGGGAACCCCGCTGACAGCTGGATGTAAAAAGAATTGCCGGCATTGCCCAGCAATTAAACATAAAAAAAAAAAAGTGTGGTTCCCCACCCATGCAGCCTGGCAGGTCAGGAAATGGGGGGGGGGGGGGGGGAGACGGACGAGCACTTCCCCCTCCTGAACCATACCAGGCCACATGCCGTCAACATGGGGGGGTGCTTTGAGGCAGGGGGGCTCCCACCCAAAAGCACCTTTTCCCCATGTTGATGGGGACAAGGACCTCTTCCCCACAACCGTGGCCGGTGGTTGTGGGGGTCTGCGGGCGGGGGGCTTATCAGAATCTGGAAGCCCCCTTTAACAAGATCTGACCCCGCACCCCCCCCCCCCCCAATGTGAATGAGTATGGGGTACATGGTACCACTACTCATTCACACACAAAAAAAACTGTAGTGTAAAAAATGACAGTAGACAATCTTTGACAAGTCCTTTATTAAATGTCCCCTGAAGTAGAGCCAACGTCAATCACAATGTCCGCTACCACCGCCGAACCAAAAAAGAAAAAAAAATCTCTCCACTCTTGATGCTGGCTCCTGCTGTCTTGACAGCAGTGCAATGAAGCCAGTGCTTAAATACTGTGATGCCGTCACAAGGGGGCGGGGGTGACATCATCATGCACTGTGATTGGCCAAAGCAGTGCACCTGACCTGTGGTTGGGTGCATTGCTTTGGTCAATCACAGTGCACTGTACGGGCAGCACAGTGGCTAAATGATTAGCTCTTCCGCCTGACAGTACTAGAGTAGTTAGTTTGAATCCCAACCATGGCACCACTTGCCTGGAGTTTACATGTTCTCCCTGTGCCTGCGTGGGTTTCCTCTGGGTACTCTGGTTTCCTCCCACACTCCAAAGACATGCTGGTAGGTTAATTGGATCCTGCCTAAATTGGTCCTAGTATGTGTATGTATGAATGTAAGTTAGGGACTTTAGATTGTACGCCCCTTGAGGGTTAGGGACTGATGTGAATGTACAATATATAAGTAAAGCGCTGCGTAAATTGATGGCATGTATAAGTACCTGTAATAAATTAAATAAATTGTGGGGCGCAGCGGGCGAACAGCCTACTGAAT